GGTTAGTGTGATGTAGTATGACCGTGTATATATAGTACATGTGAATGTACTCCACAATAGTCAATACTTGTGATAATCTCTGCTGCTACACAGGATGGAGAATTTACCCTACACTTGCATGTACAATGGTGAAGTGACTGGTTAGTGTGATGTAGTATGGGGTGACCGTGTCACTGTGTATACAGACATGTGAAATGTACTCTACAGTACCTGTGATAATCTCTGCTGCTACATATATTCTACTACACAGGATGGAGAATTTACACTCACTTACAATAGGTGAAGTGACTGTTATTTTTACCCTAAATGACTTTTACATGTCTGCACATGGGTTCTCCCATGTTCTCGCAGGGAGGAGGAATATACATGTTACATTATATTATTTCTGACATATTATATAGCAATGTTTTGCTTTTTTTTTTTTTTATTTTTTTTTTTTTTTTTTTTTTTTTTTTTTTTTTTCTCGAGAAACAAAATACACCATGCTTTTAATCTCGGAAGACGCCACGTCCTGCCAACCATGCTCTCGTTTTCATGGTTAGAGGCTTAATGGGAAAATGGAAGCAACCTCTAGGTTATTTTCTGTCGAGAGACGCCACAACGGCTGATAAACTGGAACCATTACTAAAGGAATGCTTACAAAAGGTAAAAGACATTGGACTACAGCCTAAGGCCGTGGTTTGTGACCAAGGCTCTAGCAATGTTCGACTCTACACCAACTTGGGTGTGACAGAAGATCATCCTTTCTTCATCCACGGGGGAGCCAAGATATATTGTATGCATGACCCACCACACTTGTTAAAAAACACAAGGTCAAATTTGGAAAAGTATGTGTTTGAAGTAAAGGGAGAGGATGGCAGAATGAAACATATCCGATGGGCACATATTCGCAACTTTTATGAGCATGATTCACAGTTGCCCATTAGAAAAGCTCATAAACTGACCACTTTGTACTAAACAGCTTCTCTAAAATGAGAGTTAACAAAGCAGCGCAGGTGCTCAGCCATTCGGTAGCAGCGGGCATCTACACATATGCAGCTCTTGGAAAGTTGCCTGGGGAGACTGTACATACGGCAGAGTTTATTGAAATGATTGATGGACTGTTTGATTCATTTAACAGCAGGTTTTTTAAGGACCCCAAGAAGTTAAGGAGGCCTATTTCAGAAAATTCTGCACATAAGTCATTCTTCGAATCATGCTTAGCTGTACTTCAAATCTTGACAGTGCTTGGATCAAGAAATGTGTTGTTTGTCAAGGGATGGAGGCTTGCGATTTCTTGTATTTCGCAGCTGTGGCAGCACATGAAGGAAAGCACAGATATTCGTTTTCTGTTCACATCTCGGGTTAATCAAGATATTGTTAAGAATTTGTTCTCTACTATTCGGCGAAAGGGCGGATTCCGGGACAATCCATCAGCGAAGGAGTTTCGATATGCATTTCGTATGGTTATGGTTGCTGAACTGATAAAGCCAAGCGTGAGTGCAAATTGTTCCCCTGACTCTGACAAATTTATCTTAACACTGCAAACACTGACAAAGAACAGAGTAAAGAAACCATCTCCAGCTATCTCCCATGGCAATACGACCAAGCAGAACAATGCAGTCTACAGCATTTCACTTGATATCCCTGAAGAGAATACACTGGCTTACATTGCAGGCCACATCTGTCGCAGAATCCTCACTTTACATGAACTGTCCGCAACATGCCAGACATGCAGAGAAGTTCTACTACGACCTGATGCACGATTGGATGATCCTGCCCTCATATTCATCCATCATAAAGCATACGACACATCTACGTCGGACTTCGGTTCCTTGATGGTGCCTTCTGAATACTTCGTAGCATTCTGTGAAGTGTCTGAGAAAGTGTTTCGCACAGAATTTGATGACGTCAAAATGACCAGGAACAATATCTCCCATCTGCTAAACCAAGCAATACGAAACACACAAGAATACAAGGACATGACCTTATGCAGTGAAAGAATGAAGGCTAGAATTGTCTCAATCTTTGTCAGTATTCACATACATTATGGACTGAAATTTAAGAATAGAAAACTGCAGGACATTACCGTTAAAAGGAAGTGTAAAAAAGTTCAAAAAGTGGGACATAAGTAAAGTACACACTTTGCCTGGTACTGCACTTAACGCTTAACTCGAGTTAAATTTTGTCGTGTAGACGAGGCTATAGTGAATCATTGACCTAAAATGTACACAAAATGTATAAGGTGGTATGGCATGTATTGTAATATGTAAAGGTTCTTATTTCTTACTGCTTGGGGGGAAGTGGAATGTAAAATGAAATGAATTGATAGAGCCTATAGCGAATAGTACATAACTCCACGATAGGCGGCAACACTTGTACTTAGTGTTGACATCCGGGTATTCGAGAGTCCGCGAGATACGCGTCCATGTAGACGCTACATAATCGCTAACTCGAGTTAAATTTCGTCGTTTAGATGAGGCTATAGTGAATCAGTGACCTAAAATGTACACCAAATGTATAAGGTGGTATGGCATGTATTGTAATATGTAAAGGTTCTTATTTCTTACTGCTTGGGGGGAAATGGAATGTAAAATGAAATGAATTGATAGAGCCTATAGCAAATAGTACCTACATAACTCCACGATAGGCGGCAACACTTGTACTTAAGCCTAGGACACACTGCGCAATTTTCTATGCTGGCCGCTTGTGATCGATAAATACGGTGCCGGGTCCGCGCGGTGTGTCGGGTCTCACGGCAGCGTATTTCGCTCGCGATCCCATGTGTAGTGTGTCCTAGGCTTTAGGGGTGACATCCGGGTATTCGAGAGTCCGCGAGATGCGCGTCCGTGTAGACGCTACATAATCGTTAACGCTTAACTCCAAGTTAGCTTAACTCGAGTTAAATTTCGTCGTGTAGACGAGGCTAAAGATCAAATAGCGCCGTAGGCGCCTACGGCGCTATATGATCTTTGGTCAAGAACTTGATGTTGTTATAAACATGGTAAAAGAATGATTTGAATTGTAATTGTTATTTTATTTTATTATTTTTTATTTTATATTATATTTTTATTTTATGATTATTAATTATTATTTCATTTATTTATTATTATTTTTTATTATTTAATAATTTTTATTATTTATTATTTATTATGATTTTATTATTATTATTATTATAATCATTATATAATTATCATTATTATTATCATATTTTTATTCATTTTTATTTTTCTTATTATTTATTCATTTTCATTTTTATCATCATATTTTCATCATATTATCATATATTATTATATCAATAATTATATTATAATCATTATTATTATATCATTATTATCATCATATCATAATTATTATTATAATCATTTCTTATCATTTTCATTTTTATCATCATATTTTCATCATATTATCATATATTATTATATCAATAATTATATTATAATCATTATTATAATTATCATAATTATTATTATTATTATGATTTTAAGATTTATTATTTATTATGATTTTTATTTTATTTATTTTTATTATTTTATTATATTGTATTGTAATATTGTAAAATGTAATTGTAAATAAATTGAATTGAATGGTAAATAAATTGTTGTAGTGAATCTGACAATATATTGTTTCATTGCACTAATATAATAAGATTTCATGTCTCTTTATTATAAATAGATTCAGTACCATCAGAATATCAAATGCATCTGAAAAGTTAGAGCTTGTTTCATAATATCAAAGAGCTTAACCGCATAACCTCATTATGCTTATAATGATTATAAATAAATAAATATATATATATGATTATATAGGAGGAAAAATGTACAAGGTGGTATGGCATGTATTGTAATATAAAAAGGTTCTTAATTATTTCTTCTTGCTGGAAGAAAGTGGGATTTAAAAGAATAAAAAAATAAGATAACAAGAAAAATGAAATTAAATGATAGAGCCTATATATTTGCACGTTTATGGTATCATCACACGTACCATACGTACTGTTCCCCCACAACACTGATTACACCGCAAGAGCCAAGAGGCATATCAAACCATAGAAATAATTTAGATAACCATATTTATATATATATATTAATTATATTATATTATTATGTTATTATATATATTATATATTACATTATATTATTATATATATATATATATATATTAACCATGGTTATCTATATTATTTCTATGTATCAAACAGAGACGCGGAGCGGGGTTTGCTTCCTAAAATGGCGGACGTGGCGCTCCGTTGCGTACTACACATCATTGCACGTGATTTCGCGAGAGTGGTTTATCTTGTGCCTCCGGCACTATACGATCTTTGCTAGTGACTAGGCCTAGGGTACCGTCGATAGCGAAATGGTCATGTGCGTGTGACAGTGTGTGTATAGTGTAGGCCCCTAGTCACTCACTGTTCTCCCTGTTGGATAGATATTTCCTATGCAGACATTTTATCTCAAAGATGTTTTAGTAACCTGATTGTGCATTTAATCACGTGGTGGCCTATTTACTCATAATTACAATGCCACAATGGTATTGTGGTTAAGTAAACCAGTGAGTAAGATCTTACTCCTGATAATATTAATATATACTTGACCATTCGAGTCAAGGGATGTGACTCTGTTAGTCATACGTTATAGCCTTGCAGTGGCTCACATACAGATAAACCGACCAAGCTCTCCGGCTGTTACACGTCTTGCTGCTGAAAGGGAACAAGATATACAGAAGAGAAATATGGGTCGAGGACTCGAGAGGGTGGAGGGTAGTGGGATGAGAGGGAGAGAGAGAGAGAGAGAGAGAGAGTGAGTGAGAGTTAGAGGGACAGACTGCATGACTGCATGGTTGTCTTTATTCTGATACGATGATTACACGAAGATAAGGCTAAGCATTGTGAAAATCGAGCAGAAATACATAATATTCGTTTGGATCAGTGCACAAATATCTTTAATGTATGTATATGCATATGTGTGTATGTTTTCAGTCTGTAACAGTTTAAACATTTCAGGTATAAGCTTGTAAGTAATTAATTTCAGAACCATTATTGCTCATAGGTTAATTCCTGCATGTGTGCTGATCCCTTCGGTAAGACTGCACAAACAAGACCTGGATTTACCACCGCAGCTGCAGTCCAATGAAACAAACAACTTGTGAGGATGAAATCTAGAAAACTTCAACTAGAGACTTCCATACGGCACGATGAAAATCTGTAACTATACTTCTGTAAGAAACCCTGATCAGGTAAAAGATCAAAATGTGCACAAGCACTGAAACAATGGTCTGCTATGTAGTTACTTTTGTCGAAATTCGGCAAAGTTAGTTAGGGTGGAACGGGAGACGTTTGCCATCTGCCCACTTTGCTTGGGTTATACGTTTCTCCAAACCCTTGCCAGTCCTATATATATATACTTTAAACCCCATGTTAAGTTGCCAGCTCGGTGGCCACTGTCAGAATTTACCACACCCCCATTCCAAAATTGAGGCACCCTGGTGTCCAATCAAAATTGACTAATGCCAGAGAGAAAGTGGACATACATAGGTGTCTTCAGCTTCTTGTGTAACTTTTTATTTTCCTCTTGCCACCTCAGGCTTCATTGGTTAGTGTTATGTGGTTTCCGCGTATTACAGCTTTTACTGCTATCCTATAAAAAGATCTGTGATTAATACCAAAGCAATCTCTAACACAACAGAACTTACCATGATCAAACTGGCAGATTAAAACATTACAAGGCTCATGACACTTACGGCCTTTATTGAATTTTTTTACACATGCTACATGACATAGATATAGCATCATTTGCTTTACTCGAATTCAAACCTGGCATGTAGTGTAGACCTGCTATTTAATATATAGGCATGAGGTTTTATAAAGTGCACAGATTACTATGCTTCCTACTATAGGAACAACTATTAGAAGGATAATACTTTTCATCGCATATCACAATGGTGACACCGCTAGCTACAGACTCGCATATCACAGAAGCAACCTCACTCCTGGAATAGCTAGTTATGCTACAAACGTTGACACTAGTTTTCAAAGGTGATCTTAATTGGATTAGCTGCTTTATTTCAAATTGCTTATCGTTTCTTTTTTAGTGCAAAAGACGGTCAATATTGGTGGAGGCGCAAAACCCGGCCTGAGCTGTCCGCAGTAATGAAATCAATCACACACAGGATAAGGTACGTCTACTTTTTCATAATGCGTGGGGCGCATTGACCGAAATTCTTATCACAAAAGAAAAGCAGGTCAAATCACAGGATTAACACTTTTACTCATTAGATGTTCAATCGGTAATTAATTAGTAGTACTGTTTTCTGCTCATTTCGTTACCTACCTGCTCATTACCGATCGTTCTATCTCGCATTGCATTTTGCTGTCTATCTCCCATTTGCCTTAGAAGAAGATATCTCGCCTGTTTCATGAAACAGTGCTAGAGATGGCTCTGGTTTGGGGAGAACCAGGCGTGGTAAAGTTTACCACTCACTTAGTTCTACATTATGCTCACTAGCCTTTGATGTGGCCCCAATGGCCTGTAGGTATATACCAAACTTTCCCTGCCACTTCTACCAGGAATGAGCTGGATTAGCACAGTAAATTTCAAGTTGCTTCAGTGGTTTCACAAAAACCTCCACTATTATTAATTTCTTTGTCTCGGACATATCCTGGCTGCTATGCAGAACGCGACTCTGATTACCAAATTTTGCTTCGAAATTTCGCATAGCATCCATGATTCCATGTGTAGATGTAAATCCAGCTCTTTCACTCTCATTCACTGTGATTGCAGGACAATTCTGATACCATGTCGCAGACGCTGGAGTAAAGATGTCTGCACTTGTGAGGGATAACAACAGTCGATGGATATAACGTGTTACGTTACGTTTATCTTTTATTTGGCAACCTCCCATAAGGTATGGAGCAGAAGCAAACCACTTGGAGCAGAAGCTCGTTATCAAACCACAGGGCACGCATATTGCATTGGCATTGATGATGTCACAAAGCACTCTATCAAACTGCAGCAGCCAACGGTCATTTTCAAACCGCAGGAGCTTAAACTTATGTTTATAATGTAGAGGCAAGCCTACTACGGGGCGCCATGTGGGACAAAACTTAATTTTGTCTAACAAAACTCAATTCTGTCTCACAAAAGTCAATTTTGTGAACACAAAACTCAATTCAGTCAATCCTGTCCCACAAAACTCAATTTTGTNAGTGAGAAACCATGATCACTGAGTGAGAAACCATGAACACTGAGGGAGAAACCATGATCACTGAGTGAGAAACCATGATTATTGATCACTGAGTGAGAAATCATGAACACTGAGTGAGAAACCATGAACACTGAGGGAGAAACCATGAACACTGAGTGAGAAACAATGATCACTGAGTGAGAAACCATGACCACTCATTGAGAAACCATGATCACTGAGTGAGAAACCATGAACACTGAGTGAGAAACCATGAACACTCAGTGAGAAACCATAATCACTGAATGAGAAACCATGATCACTGAGTGAGAAACAATGATCACTGAGTGAGAAACCATGATCACTGAGTGAGAAACCATGAACACTGA